GTTACATACTGGACCCCGTACAAATGGACCCCGTACAGGACCAGATTGTGTGGCCCCATTTGGTTCGGGGCCATCTAGATTTTAGTGAATAACCCTTTTAGTCTACACCGGTTGAGATTTATGCAGCTCTGGTTGCCTGGTTTTATCTGTTTATGTTTGATAGAGCAGCTTTCAATGTTTACACCTTCAAATAAAAAAGTAAACACGGGGGTGGTCGATTAAGGAATGTGGGATGATTTTGATGGGTCACCAATGCCTACTTGTTTAAGTATCACCTTTAGTGTGATTTTATGTGTTCACCTAATGGATGTTTAATACAGTAATACAATTTATTATGGCCTTAGGTTAGGCAGTGACATAAGGTTTTATCTAGTCAGAAAAGCAGCCAGTATTATTAAATGATGTCATCACGCATTCTAAAGAGCAGGCAGACAAAATGCATGCAGTTTGCAGACAGACATGTCTGTACTCTTTCTACCAAAGCTATGACAGCAACCATGGAACTCCGACAATAGAAGAGACCCACCCTGGGATTTATGATTGCCCTTGGTGTTAAGTGTATAAATCAGAATACGTCTTTCAGGTACATCAGTTCATTATTTTTCTCTGGTAAACCTGTTGGGATACATGGTACACACCAATAAAATATGGCATCTGCTTTCTTTTCAAGGTAATGAAGATCTGTATTTGAACTTAGTAACAAAGTATGATAGAGAAAAATAAACCCATCAATGGAACGGCAAAATGACATTTTAACATGTGTTGGACACCAGCATTTAAAGAATACCATACAATTTACAAACATTAGTAATAAAATAGTAACACATCCATAGAAAATTAGAAAGAGGACTTGCACAGACTTACTGTATTGTTAAAGGAACACTCCACAAATCATTAGAAATTACAGTGCATTCTAGTGGTTATAGTGCCAGGAATGTGATTAAACAGCTTACCTGGGGTCCAGCGGGAGCAAGTTACTTAATACATTGGGAGCCAGGACCTCCTGCTGAACTTCCATTAGCTCTCCTTTGCTTAATTATGCCATGCAGAGCCAGTTATTTGGCTGAGAACATTAGCTGATGGCTCTCATCCATTGAACTAAGCCCTGCACTGCAGGACTTAGCTCATTAAAGGGATCTGGCGAGCAGAAGCTGACTGGCACCCAGCAGAGCCCAGGTAAGTACATTTGGGCACCAAGGCACTCCTGGCACCATACACAATACAGTGAACTGTAGGGGTTAAGGCGATTGGAGTTTTCGTTTATGAACAAAGATGCCCTCTACTTAGTAAAAGGACTCTGAAGCCCTCCTATCAATTGAAGAGAGCCTCCAGTCCCATTAAGATGAAGAATACTCCATCATGCTTCTGTTTAGATCAATAAATGTCATTAATAGACAACATTACAATTATTATTGTCTTTCTTTAAAAATAAAAAATAAAAGCCACCATTTTCTGCAGTGACGTAGAACTGCTACAAGAGGTTTATTTTAGTGATTTTCTTTTTGTAAAAGTTCCTTTCATTAATCACAGTTTGGTGAACAATCTTGTAAAGAGAAAGACACATTCAGACACGTACAAGCAAGTACTACTAGACAGACTCACACATATAACCACTCATAGACCCACTCAGACAGGTACAGACACTTTAACACACTTCGACACCACGTAAACACACCCTTAAAGACACACACTCAGACTCAGAGGCATGCTTACAGGCACTCATAAGCACTTAAAAACACACTTAAATATTCACAACACTAAAAACTAAATTTAAAAATCCCTGCAATTAATTTATATTTAAATTTTACACTTGGGAGGTCCTCTACCTCGCCTCCATGTGAATGGGTCACATTAAGTTTATGGTGCCCCATCCCTTCTCTGAAGAGCTACACAAGCAACTCTATTGAATAGTTTGGATTGCTGAATATTGTTGTTATATTTTTGAGGGGTGGGGGCCAGGTGGCAGGACAATAGGCCCCCCTTTTCTAATTAAGGGCCCCCACCCACCACTCAGGGGTGGGGGTCAGGGGGGAGTACAAAAGGTCCCCCCTTATTGGTATTTAGGGCCCCCACCCGCCACTCAGGGGTGGGGGCCAGGGGCGAGGACAACAGGTCCCCCCCTTATTCTAATTTAGGGCCCCCACGCACCACTCAGGGGGAGGACAATAGGTCCCCCCCTTATTCTAATTTAGGGCCCCCACCCACCGCTCAGGGGTGGGGGCCAGGGGCGAGGACAACAGGTCCCCCCCTTATTCTAATTTAGGGCCCCCACGCACCACTCAGGGGGAGGACAATAGGTCCCCCCCTTATTCTAATTTAGGGCCCCCACCCACCGCTCAGGGGTGGGGGTCAGGGGGGAGGACATTAGGTTCCCCCCTTATTGGTATTTAGGGCTCCCACCCGCCGCCCAGGGGTGAGGGCCAGGGGGGAGGACAATAGGTCCCCCCTTATTCTAATTTAGGGCCCCCACCCACCGCTCAGGGGTGGGGGCCAGGGGGTAGGACAGTAGGTCCCCCCCATTATTGGTATTTAGGGCCCCCACCCGCCGCTCAGGGGTGGGTGGTGGGGGGAGGACAATAGTTCCCCCCTTATTCTAATTTAGGGCCCCCACCCACCACTCAGGGGTGGGGGCCTCGGGGGAGGAAAATAGGCTGCTCACTGTTTACTATACATGCCCCTACTCGCAGTATAGTGAGTAGGGGCATAATTTACTAATACTAAGTAATCTTTACTTAGTATTAGTAAATTTGGCTGAAAGACCAATTTAGGTCTTTCAGCCTTTTAGTAGATAACTCCCTAATACCGTGGGAATTAGGTAGTTATCTACTTATTCATTCTTGTCATTTCATTGACTGGCTAAGTAACTTACATTTTATATGAATGTGTGTTACTTGATTGTTGTAAGTGTTGCAGATGCTTACAGCTGAATCCTGGCTATGTTTGTATACATTTTATTTAAACTTGTATACAGTGTAACATTCTTCATTCTTCCACTGGGTAGGTATATTAGTACTTCGGCAATACTGTGCTTCGGAACTTCGGCACTTTGGAACTTCAGGCAACTTCGGAACTTCAACTCTTCGGCAATTTCGGAACTTCGCCAATTCAGCAATTCGGACATTTGGAAGTCTCCAAATGTCCGAATTGCCGAAATTCGTCCGAATTAACATTCGGAACAAAACAAATTGCACATGTCTAGAAATGATAGGTTGAAGAGTACCATGCTCAAATGAGCTTACAGTCTGTAGGAGGTGGTGTATAAAACACATTAGGACAGGAAATAGCAATCAAATAAGGTGGGAGAGAGGCAGAGCTGGAGGAGAGAGTAGAGTGCTGCCCTTTAGGAGAGAGCAAGAGACAGGTATGTGAGGTAGAGGTTACTCTGGGAGGCCATAAGCTTTCCTAAAGAGATGGGTTTTAAGGCACTTCTTAAACGATTGAAGACTAGGATGAGTCTGATGGCAGAAGGCAGGCTATTCCATAGGTAATGAGCCGCCCGCAAGAAGTCCTGCAAGCGTGAGTTGGCCATACGCGAGCAGCGGACAGGAGAGAATGAAAAGAGGGTAGAGGGGAGAGACCGAAAAGGGGCCTACCTATAGATTTGTGAAGAGATTTAAGAGGGGCTAGAATTGTTCAGTGCTTTATAGGTATGGGTTAGCACTTTGAATTGACTCTTATAGGATCAGGAAGCCAATGTAAGGACTGACAGAGGGGTGAGGTGTGAGAGGACTGACCAGAGAGGAAAATCAGTCTGGCGGTAGCATTCATTACAGATTGTAGCGGGGCCATACAGCTTTTGGGAAGACCATTGTAAGGAAAGGTGATTAAATATCTAATAGGTAAACCAGCAGCCTTTATTTATTTTGTCTAAAATGTGTTACCCGAGAACAATACCATTCGTCAAGAAATATAGCAAAATAGTGATAATAGACTTTTATAGCATAGAGTCTCTCAAAATTTTCAAAAAATATATATACTAGTCCATTGTCAGTTAAGCCATCATAATTGATATCTCAGATATAAATATAGTGCACTTGGTTTATGAGGTGCCTTGAAAACTTATTTACACCCAGGGTATCTGGAGTACTCTTATCCCAAGGAGGACATAATATTTTCTGTTTGATAGTTGTTAAATCAGCTGTACTATCCCTAATGCTCCTATGTAGACTCCAGATAACCCTACCGTTATAGCTCAATTAGTAGCATCTGCCTATGTATATTTAACATCAGGGTATCCACCTAAAAACTTTACGGCGACAGAATATGTTTACAACTCATAAGATACCAGTTGTAAGTCTTTAACTTTCTACTCCCTCTGTTCCTAAATAATGTGGGGCGTATTTACAAAACTTTGCTCTTTACTTAGACCCATGTTCAATTATTTTGGTCAAATCTTTTAACATGGATCTAATAAATGGATGTTTTATTGAAACAGAAAGTGCTCACGCCTAATTGGTATGAAGTAGTGGATGAGGTACGTGCACAACGAATATAAATAAATATAATGGTCAAACAGATTACACCCTGCTGGGACAAGTGGGGGGACCCATGGCAGTATCACACATATTGACCAATACGGGAAAACTCACGTTTGTTTTTTTAACAACACACCATGTGAACTAATTTCCATCTGATGCAATAAATATAACTATTCTCACACCCTTTTTGTATAAAATGGTCATTCAGTGTATAAAGATGTGATGTTACCCATGCAAGTGTCCACTGTAAATACGGAGGCTGTCTGTTATTATGTACCAACTCCCTGCTTCTCTCATGTATCCAGTTTGTATTGGCATTATATAACGATGGAATGTTGCTAGTAAATAATTTCATCATTGACGATTACCACATTCAGTGTTGCTTCCTGTTATACCTTATGCATCAATAAAACAAATGTCAAATATCAAATAAAATTAAACATAAAGTCATCTGGAAAATCACTTCCTTTAAAAAGCTTGTTTGTGTAACCTGGTACCTGGTTAGGAAGAGCAACACATTTTTCTTTTTAGATATAGCTCACCTTAAATTTAAAAATCATCCCATATGTGTCAAATAGAGGGTCGTTCTGCTCAATGTTGTTATTTGGGTCTCAGGAATGTTTTAAACGGTCAAGAAGGATTCAAGAGTCAGGATGAAAATTGTTTATTTCTAATTTGTGATACATGTCCAAACCTTTAGCTGATTGCAAATCCACATATTTCCATGATAGGTGTGAAGCTTTAGTATAAAAGTATATATTCTTAATTCATACTGCATGTATGCTTTCCTTTCATTAGCATCAACCAGGTGAACTAGTTTAGAGCCTTGCTTAAGTCTGTTTGAAACCCTGGACTTATTCTAGCCAGTGTAACAGAACAATAACAGAAAGAGAAATAAGGGCTGCGCCAAATCCAATAACGAGATAAAACTATGTCCAAAAAATCACAGTAAAATAGTCCAGATGGAAGGATCTCACTCTCATATAAAGTGCTTTGTCGGACGTTATGTCCTCAATGACTTTATGGTCCAAGGGATCCACTTTTATGAAAGACAAAAATAAGGACCACCAACAGTGCAATATGTACAGTTCAATGCGGTCACTATATTACGATATTTTCCATATAGTGACCGCATTGAACTGTACATATTGCACTGTTGGTGGTCCTTATTTTTGTCTTTCATAAAAGTGGATCCCTTGGACCATAAAGTCATTGAGGACATAACGTCCGACAAAGCACTTTAGATCAGAGTGAGATCCTTCCATTTGGACTATTTTACTGTGATTTTTTGGACATAGTTTTATCTCTTGTTATTGGATTTGGTGCAGCCCTTATTTCTTTTTCTGTCACTTTTCTGGAATTTCAAAAGGGTTTTGAGGGATTTCCCTTTTTAGGGTTGCTGCCTATTTGTTAATTAGCGCTTACTCATTTTCTGTTGTGTAACAGAACAATGTAGCAAGGAAAATGCATACAAAATATAGTAAAATCTTAAAATAAAACTCACTCTATAAAACATATAACATGATCAATATTTTGTTTTAACATACTTTCGTGGAAGTATATATTATCATTCATTTATTTATTTAGCTACAGGGTACCAAAGGCTGTTTTTACCAACTATTACCCCACCTAAAAATGTAGTAATTATCTGCTAGGTACTTCTCAGCAGTTTTTGGCCAGGTGATGTCCTTCCTCTCTCCGATCACCTAAGGAGCTTCCTTTATCTGCACTTTCATGTTGTCATCGGTCGATGCTTGCTACGTAATTGGAAGGGAAAAGGCCCACTCTGTCCCCTAATCTCCCCATCCACCAGGAAGAATTAGAGTAGTCCAGTACTTCAATTATGTCACTAGCATGAAAGTCCAGTTCATCTGGCTCCATGGCTTTGAAATCGAAGAGAGCCTTGACCCTTCTAGAACGCTTTGGGACAACTGAGACCTAGCAGAAAATAAATTCAGTAAATCAGTCATGGATTAAGATAAATAAACACAGTTATAGAATGTTGTATCTCTTTTCCTTAAAAGGAAATGGTAAAAAATGTGCCACGTGTATATATTTTAACCCCTTAAGGACACGTGACATGTGTAAAATGTCATGATTCTCTTTTATTCCAGAAGTTTGGTCCTTAAGGGGTTAAAGCAATTTGATATTCATTCAAATCAAGGGACATGGGGGCATGGGGAAGGAGGACAGGGTGGATGAGGGGAGGAGGGGGGTATTTGAAGCTTTTTGGTTGAGGGTTTAAGTACTTCACGCACACTTGGCATGAAGCTTTTTACATCTTTGTGCCTTGAAAGTCTTGCATAAGATTTAAGTTAAAAAAACAACAACAAAAAAAAAACCCATTTGTTAAAAACAAACAGCACAACACTATATTTAGTTAGTTGCTGGGTTTGCAAAAGATAAAAAAGAAGTATGGTTTAAGTATACTTCAATGTATGTACTTATATCTACAATGTAATATAGACTAATAAAAAGACTTTGGTGATTTACTTACTAAACGCTTTATTTACTAAATTCAGCTTAACTTGTCAAACCAAAAATATAACTGGAACATTTTTCCAGCTTCGCTATTCTAGAACAAATTTGGCAAATTAAATTTTTAAGTCTCCACATTTGACTAATGAATAAACCATTCTGTGTTTACAGGATTAGACTGCAAATAAGCTTTTCATTATGGTTGGTTAGTGTATTCCAGTGGGCATGATACATAAACAAGCAATTCATAACATTGTCTTTTGCTGCTCTCTAGTGGCCAAATGTCTAACTACACTGTAATCTCTCAAACAACCCTTCAGTTTATCTGAAATTAAAGTTTAAAAAAAAAAAACCATTAAATTTTTCTTTCATTTCATACATTTACATGGTATGAATAAAATAACAATATCATTTTTACTGTTACCAATATATATGATCTTGATCGCTATCCTAAAGTGTTGTTTGTGGTAAATTTTACAATGTCAAAGGGTCCCTCTATAGTATTACAATGAGCTGCTGTGATTATTGGCTTGACTTAATATTGTTGGATTAGCTTTTAAAATTATTTAATATTTTTGGATAAACTTGTCAAATTATTTTTTTTAAACATATTAAAATATTAAACCATATGTATACAATATGAATATATATATATATATATATATATATATAAAAATCTAAATGATACAACATGTAAATATATTATTAAATCATTCTATCAATATATAAGTTTATCCGAAAAAATATTAAATCATTTGAAAAGCTTATTCAACAATATTAAAATCGGCCCCATGCTGGTTGAAAAGAAATTTGTGGTGATAGTACTTTTTTTTTTAAACCATTAGGTAGAGGGACAAAACATGGAAATGCATAAAAAAGGATGGAAAATAGATGTGTATGGGGGATGGGAGGGTATATGGAGTCTGAGATTGGGAAGGGATAATATTTAAATAGGGCCTAAGAATATTGCTGCAATGGGGCTCTAATCATTGAAAACCCAGAAAAGGTTGCCTGTCTAAATTTAAAGTCTGTGGTTATTGGTCACTGCTATTGCTATGCAAATATGCAGGTAAAGGGACCTTACCTCTTTCTGTTCCTGGCGAGCTACAGGGTACCTCTCTGCAACAGACTTCTGGACTTTTGATTCACCGAATGGCCCCTGCAAAAGAATGGTCATTGAGGATTTCTGATTCCAACTTGCAGAGCAAAGGTTTAGTCTTGGAACTGTGCCATTCCTTATGTTTCTGCTCTTCACTAGACCCAACATGAGTCAAATATTAAATATTGGTGGTTGTGCAGCTACATGAAACAAGCAACTGTGTATATACTCTGAAAAACATTTTCTCTGAAACACCCATTTTGGCCTTCAGACAACCACCAAACCTCCAACAAAAATTAATCAACAGGAAGTTACCCACTGGTGGGAAAAATAAAGAAAACGGGACCAGTCAATGCAAAAACCTCGCTGCAAACTGTGTCTGCACATATGCACAGACAACACAGCCACACACAACAATAAAACCTACAGCATTAAAGGATCATACTCCTGCACATCCAGCAATGTGGTATACATGATTCAATGGACCAAATGCCACCTAGGATGCTACATTAGGGAAACCACCCAGCCATTAAATGGCAGAATGAATATGCACAGACACTCCATTAAACACCACAAAGAAGGATTGTACAGCACTCCTGTGGGACACCACTTTACCCAGCCAGGCCACTCAATGAAGGACCTAAATCAAAGTCCTGAAAGGGGGTTTTAAAAATACCCAAGAAAGAAAAACCTTTGAAGCCAGAATGATCAAATTGTTTAACAGCAAGAATAGAGGACTAATATTGATTTTTGTTTCCTGTCCTACTACCAACACTTTACATGAACACTCTCCCAGCATTATCTTACTGTATCAACACTTTAAAACGCATTCCAATATGTTTATTCTATCAAAATACAAAGTACTGTGTGCAGATCTATGCTTTCCCATACTCTTATGCATATATGCTGATATATGTGACTGTGCATTTATATTTGTGTATATGAGTTCATGTGCATGTATATGTATATGTGTTAATGTTTATACATATATATATATATATATATATATATATATATATATTTGTGTGTGTGTCTATGTATAAAGTATGTATATACATGCATGTATGTATATGTGAATAGGTGTATGTATACATATACATATATATGGGTTGATGTATCTGTAGGCACATTGGTATATGTGTAGTTACATGTATTGGTGCTTGTGTGGGCATGTATGTGTTGGTGTGCATGTACATATATTTGTGAATTTGGTTGTATTTATATGTATATTGTATGTACTTGTGTATAGTGTGTATTTTCTTGTGTATACTTGTACATATGCACTACTTGTGTTTAAGTACATGAGTGTGAGTGTGTATGTGTGTCTGTGTATGCTGGATATAGGCCTTCATGCATATCCTGTAACTCTTGGATGGGAATCCATGCATTCTTTATATTAATACTCCCCCCCCCCCTTCTAGCACCATCTTCTGCACTGTTCGCTTGTTTTTTTTTCTCTCTCTCCCCCCTCACTCTGTGATCTTCACATAAGACCCTCTGCAAAAATGGTGTCTATGTTCTATCAAACCCATGTCTTATCTGCACTCATGTTCCTTTAACCCCTGTGTTACAACTCAACTTTGAATTCTATGTGTCGTCTTGCTCAGAAATGCTTCAGACTTGAGAAAGGGAGGTTCTCCTGAAAGCTTGTCATTAAAAAATTCTGTTAGTCCAATAAAAAAAGGTATTATAAGATACAAATTGTATCTGTTTTTTACATATACAGTTGCAAGAAAAAGTATGTGAACCCTTTGGAATGATATGGATTTCTGCACAAATTGGTCATAAAATGTGATCTGATCATCATCTAAGTCACAACAATAGACAATCACAGTCTGCTTAAACTAATAACACACAAAGAATGAAATGTTGCCATGTTTTTATTGAACACACCATGTAAACATTCACAGTGCAGGTGGAAAAAGTATGTGAACCCTTGGATTTAATAACTGGTTGAACCTCCTTTGGCAGCAATAACTTCAACCAAACGTTTCCTGTAGTTGCAGATCAGACGTGCACAACGGTCAGGAGTAATTCTTGACCATTCCTCTTTACAGAACTGTTTCAGTTCAGCAATATTCTTGGGATGTCTGGTGTGAATCGCTTTCTTGAGGTCATGCCACAGCATCTCACAGCAACACCCATCTTCTGTTGAGCTTCAGCTGGTAGACAGATGGCCTTAAGTTCTCCTGCAAAATGTCTTGATAAACTTGGGAATTAATTTTTCCTTCGATGATAGCAATCCGCTCAGGCCCTTACGCAGCAAAGCAGCACCAAACCATGATGTTGGTGTGCTGTGCCTTTTTTTCGCCACATAGTGTTGTGTGTTTCTTCCAAACAACTCAACTTTGGTTTCATCTGTCCACAGAATATTTTGCCAGTACTGCTGTGGAAAATCCAGGTGCTCTTGTGCAAACTGTAAACGTGCAGCAATGTTTTGTTTGGAAAGCAGTGGCTTCCTCTGTGGTATCCTCCCATGAAATCCATTCTTGTTTAGTGTTTTACGTATTGTAGATTCGCTAACAGGGATGTTAGCATTTGCCAGTGACTTTTGTAAGTCTTTAGCTGACACTCTAGGATTCTTCTTCACCTCATTGAGCAGTCTGCGCTGTGCTCTTGCAGTCATCTTTACAGGACGGCCACTCCTAGGGAGAGTAGCAGCAGTGCTGAACTTTCTCAATTTATAGACAATTTGTCTTACCGTGGACTGATGAACAGCAAGGCTTTTGGAGATACTTTTATAACCCTTTCCAGCTTTATGCAAGTCAACAATTCTTAATCGTAGGTCTTCTGAGAGCTCTTTTGTGCGAGGCATCATTCACATCAGGCAATGCTTCTTGTGAAAAGCAAACCCAGAACTGGTGTGTGTTTTTTATAGGGCAGGGCAGCTGTAACCAACACTTCCAATCTCATCTCATTGATTGGACTCCAGTTGGCTGACATCTCACTCCAATTAGCTCTTGGAGATGTCATTAGTCTAGGGGTTCACATACTTTTTCCACCTGCACTGTGAATGTTTACATGGTGTGTTCAATAAAAACATGGCAACATTTCATTCTTTGTGTGTTATTAGTTTAAGCAGACTGTAATTGTCTATTGTTGTGACTTAGATGATGATCAGATCACATTTTATGACCAATTTGTGCAGAAATCCATATCATTCCAAAGGGTTCACATACTTTTTCTTGCAACTGTATATATATTTGTGTGTATGAATGGTTGTGTGTATGAATGTGAGCATGTGTGATATCTATCTATATATGCATATATAGATAGCTATAGATAGATATCACACATACTCACATTCATACAAACATTTTCACATTCTTATGCACAGTCATACATGGACACACAAATTTATGAACACACATTCATATATAAGCACACACAATCAAATTCATATAGACACATACATTCATACACTGACACTAGATTAGGCAGTATAGGAATAGACCATTGCTACACTTTAAGGAATGGGAAACATTGGTCTAAGAACCATGGGTCTGAACAATATGACTGAGTCTTAGTATTGCATACCTCTGTTTCTGGTGCATCTTCTCGAAGGTAAATCTGTAGCTGTCTAGAGATAGATGACGTTTTGTAGTACTCCACCATCTTGTTGATTGACTTGAATTTCTCTGTCCATAGGAAATAATTTCCACGGTTGTCCCGCATGACTTTGAAATGCTGCACATCTCCTTCGTGCCTAGGAAATAATTCATAATTTCTTTGAGTGTGCCATTAAAATGACCAGGGGCAAAGTCTATACTATAAAAGTACATATCATAAACCTAGTATGCTTTTTACTGTTGTTATTCAGGCAATGTATTAATAAATGGAACCTTTTTGTTTTAAAGTCTGTAAAAGTTGTGGTTTATTTGACTGCATCTATGTTTATGATATGTTAGGGTTTATTTTGTAAACACAATATTTAAAAAAACATAAAAGCTAGTACGACTAGTGCAATTCTTCTACCTTGACCGTGAGGTGCGGATTTACCCCATAGGGCATATGTTCCCTATAGAAGAGATGTTCTTGGGAGGGCAGAGGAAAGAGGTTGGTATAAACAAGGAGAGGGATGTGACTGGGATTGTGAGTATATGTTTATGATTACAATAACAAACATTGCCAGGATTAATGTGCCAATGTTCTAGAATAGTGAAGGCTACTGGCGATGTGTACACGATTCCATTTATACCCAGTTATCCCATTTTCTTTTATGTATCTGTAATGTGTGAAATTTTCAATAAAATAAAACTTGAAAAAAAAAAAGGAATATAAAAGCTAGTTTAATAGTTTAATGGATCTCTAAACTTTGATTGCGGAAAGTTATTTCCAAAGTTAAATTAAGGTTTCCCAAAGTATGAGTTGTGTGTATGTAGGGAGTTTGAGTGTGGCTGTGTTTCGTGTGTAGTGTCCGAGTGTGTGTTTTGCTTCCTTCCTGCTTATATTTCCCTTGTGGTACAGTGGGATAGCATTGTGGTCTGCACCAGTATCAAGGGCAGAATACTTCAAGACCTCCTTTGAGGTTCTGGTACTCAGTTAATGACTAAGAATCTAAATCTTTGTGAAATGATGGGGGACTGTGTGGGAACTATTAAAGTGATCCGTACCCAATATTGGTGCTACAAGGCTCCCCAAGCACAGTGCCGAGAAGCGAGATATTTTTGATCTCTTTGCTAGCTCAAGAAGGACTCGCTTACAACCAGAGCTAGAGCTCCTGTCTGAGCCCAGTTCCTAGGAAGCTGCCTATGACACCTTATGGGTCATCCAGCTCTCCTTAGATTCAGGTAAATACTATATGGTCTTTGTAAGATAAACTTAATACAGGCTTTCACAGTTACTATTCTTTGACACCAAGCAATGTAGAAATGGACAATTCTGCAAATGAACAAGGTATTGCAAATTGTAGGCCAAAATAAAAAACAGTTTGCTAGTGCTTAACTATTTTGGCTTAAAAGTTGCAGTTTGTTTTTCCGTTCTTTTCAATTCCCATTTTCAAGGAAAACACATAATTTGTCATGTCAGTCTTTCTGTAATGTGCATAATAACATAAATCAATAAAAATAAAACTCATATATAAGGAAAACTAGTGAAATACAAAAGAATGGAAACCCATATGTAGTGGTGAAAAAAGTTAGAAATTCGCTACTAGTCAATGCTTATCCCGTTTGTTGAATGATTGACTTACGCATGCTGTACCCCAAGGACATATCTGAGTGAGGTGCAGGCTTATAGCTGCTAGACTTGAAGATCTGTTTCATTATGAACTGTAATTCATCTGTCTTTGGGACGAATTATCGAACTTTAAGCCGAAATGCAGCCAAATCACAAATGCATAATAGTCGGGCATACTTTGATTTATGCAAAATAAAAATAGGTGCGCTGTACCTTTAAATATTAAAAAGTGCAGATAGTGCAATAATTTGTGCAAAAACACAGAGTGTGTATACAATATAATCACATTCAGTGTGACATAAGTGCAAAATGCAAATGTGATGGTGTAAAAATTCAATATCCAAAACAAATAACTTACAAGGGAAATGTATATCTCCTTAAATTCTCCAAATCACATAAGAACATATGTAAAAAGAGATATAAAATGGAGAAACATAGTATAATATTGTTTACATAAATATAAAAACCAGCAAATAAAATTAGGAATATCACTCACAAAAAAAGAGCAGTAAAAGCCTGCTCTAACTGATCCAGCTTTAAATCCAAAGACCAGGACTTCAATGTTGGTGCAAATAGGCAGGACACCATACTTTGATTTATGATTCAGAATTCCACTTGTGTAGCCAAAGAAAGTGCTGATTGATGGGACAAAAGGCTAACTGATTGCTAGAGGACAGCCACTAAATGTTGCTTTTATTCACAGATCAGTAAAGAGGAAAAAAGGAGAAGTTAAAAAAAGTATATATTTATGTATTTAATGAATGTATAAATATAGATTATTTTTACTGCCTCTGGGACAATGCACCTAGCAGTGTATTACAATATATATACATAGTAATTATATTGTGTATATATTTAGCAGTACACTGATTGCCCATTTTCACAGCCTTTTGGTTCATCTAATTTGTTGTCCGAATCTTTTTTCATTAACAAAATTCAGATCAATTTGGTTTAAAGGGTTTTTCTCTGTAGTTTAATAGCTGCGGTAAATTCTTCTAATTGCTGTCATGTAAAGATTGCACATCTAAGGAAACAGGGGCACGGGACCTCCATGCACCATCATTCATGTAAGGTAAAACTATCTATTAATTTAGGAGTGTTACTTCAATAATGCTCTGATTTTGGACAGGTAGGTGTAAAACATTTTATAACTGACACTACAAAGAAAAGGGTTTTTAATATGTTTCGATTTATAATATTAAATATTTAAGCACCAGAGGGATTTCAAATACATTGACTGCATTTAGCAGACCTTGGCACTCAAATAGTTAAAAAATAACTGTTTGTAGTTTCATAGTGTACTCAGTGCTGCAGAACTCTGCCAGTTCCCATTACTGCTTTTTTCTCCCTGATATTACTACACAAATTCTTCCTAACAAAATGAGTCTTAATAGGTAGGTCTGCCTCTAGACCAGGGGGTTTTAGCCCTGAACTAAATCATTTTCAAAATAGATGTGGTATCTGTCAAGTATAAAATATAACTTTCATTACATTTATTGAATAAAAGAAAAATCTAATCAAGCGTAAAAGTTTATTTCAACGATTATATCAAAAGTAGGAAAATCAGAATCCAAATCTACTTTCCACACTATACATAAACTGAGATAAATACTCCAATAAATCTTGCCAATATCTCCCTAAGCACTATAATTGCTGGCTTGATTAAGAATCAGAGCCATATAAATGAGAACATGCAGTAATGCTGTGTGACCACTAGAGGTAGCCACAGTCCTAAAATTTCTAACTGGAGAACACAAATTAAATCCTGACATAAGAGGTCACATTAAGTCAAAAGCTATGTTGCTCACAACATATATATATTGCTTTGAAAATTGTCAAATACAAGATATATACACAGAGATGGCTCTCTCAAAAAAAACTAAAGTAAATTGAAGAGAAAGCAAAGGAAGTGAAAATGTGATTTTAGTATACCATAGTTGTATCAATAAAGTCAGCATAAAAGAGAGAGGGGATCATGGTCAGATTACAATCCTGATCATCCCATGTTTATGTGTGAAATGCCCATCGAATGCAAGACTTGACCGTGTGTTTAAACATTTTTCTACTTTCTACATTCTGCTGTCACAACTTCTGATAGTGGGTCATTGTCGACTGTACAAATGTTTAGGAACAAACCAGCTTACTAAAATAACTAGGTAAAAAAATAGAGAGCCTAATGCACCATGATGCCCTCTCTCTTTTTTTCTCCTGGAATATGCTGACTATATTGATGCAACAATGGTTTATAAAAATGTTCTTGCTGTAGTAATCCCTTCCTTTATTTCTCTATATTTCACTGACGAAGCCTAACAAAGGCTGATACAATAGTCTGGGGTTGCTGAATCTCTCGTGCAGAGATAGCCGCATTGTGGGTTTGTACCAACCGTATGGGTGGGATCAGTCCAGGGCCAGTGCAAAGATTTTTTAGCTACACAAGTGAAGATGCAGGCCCCCCATGCATCTTCACCTGTGTGTCTCTTAACCCCTTTTAAATTTCTTTCCCCTTTTGTGTTTTTATCCCCTCTTTTAAATGTTACCTTCTTAGTGTATCCTATCCCTCATTTTCCAGTTTGTGTGTCTTTTACAACCACCCTTGTGTGTCTCTTGCAGGCCGCGGTAGAGGATCTCCTGTAACCTCTATCTGGATGTTCAGACTGGGTAAAAGCTAAACAAGATCCTCTTCCACGGTCTGCGTGGCCATGCTACATGTGGTGACTGGCTGGATGGGGAGCTCCTGCAGGTCTTCTGGACAATGCGCCCCACAGGTTGGTGCTATTTGAGCTGTTGTTCGCTCTCACTGTTCTCTTCTTTTCTATTTCTTGAACTCCACCTATGGACACGAAGAATAGTGATGGAATGAAATCTAGGACAGGCCTCTCAATGCCATCCAATGACTTGTACAAGGGTTCGAATCTGAAGAGATCAATTGCTGGCTCTCTCTAGTTTAACTTGTGCCTTGGTGTCTAGATTGTGACATCCTTACTGTCTCTTAAAAAAAAAGTCAACCTTTAATTCCATATAGATTTTTTTTGTATTTTAGATAACTGAAAGTAGAAACAAAAATGTTATGCTGATATTTGTGCATGCAGCAATAGCAAATAATTTGACAAACATGCTTCTGTTTTAGTCAAGTGAGGTTCCACAGCCCACCAAAAGATGTCTCTCTTTATACTGAAATGAGAACAGTTGCATGAAAAAAATGTATGTATATATATATATTTTCGGAATTATCATTATTCGTCCTACGTGCTCATAGCCCTATGATGCATCATGACCCTGTCTCATTACATGAACCGAAAGTCGAGATTGATCTGGCAAGGTCAGTAGCTTAGGAAGTAAAGGTTTGTTTCATTAACTCCTGCAGAGCTTTAACACAATGATGTGTTCAAATTGTCTGCCCTGACCTCCCAATACCCAACTATGGATGTTTAACCCTTTCAAAGAGAAAAGAAAATATTGCTCAACCATTTACCAATGCATGGGTTAATGCCATGTAATAATGTTAGAAGACCCGGGGCTGTTTTCTGTTCCATCTGTACATATATTGTTATTCCCTACCCTTTTAGTGTTATAAAAAGCATTCTACATAAGATGATTTTTGTCTGTTTTGTTTTGCTTGTTTTAATAAAGATGGCATTGTACAAGCGGCTTGTAGGTCTACACTTTGTTTTACTGTAAGCATGTTAGATGCTGGCGAGTTTTAATATCTGAAATATCTATGGTCTTCCTATTGTTCTCATTCATACATTTAGCTTGGTTTGGGAGGTGGTAGTAAAGTTTTTTTGTTTTTTGTTTTTTTGTTAATCTGTTTATTTAGAGTTTTATCAAGCCAGTGGAGCATATTATGGGCACGCAGGCCCAACTCAACAGAATTGCATAAAATAGTGACAACATAGAAACAGTGTTTATACACATTTTGAACATATTTGCATAGCATAATATCTCATTCCGTTATTCTTATATATCTTATTCCGTTATCAGTTTACATTCTGTGATAATATGTAAAGTCGTCTTATCTATTGATAGTCATGGAGCCGCAACTATAGTAAAATTTGTCAATGTTGGTAAAGAAAGAATGTATGTAGGAGTTTTTGGTGATTTCCTGAGGTGAGCAGGTGTGTGTCGTGGCGTGATACCAGTGTTGCGAGAGACTAGGAGTCTTGGGGGGGGGGCGGGGGGAAGGGGTTGGGGGATTTTTAGTTGTGAGGGCCTGGATGCCCTATGTGGGTGGGGTGGGTGGGTATGAGAAGTTCGGGAGGGGGGTAAGGGAGTAACGCGTGTGGGAGCATGTGTGGGGAGGGGGGTGTGGAATCCTCCTGCCGCCGTACACGTTCATAGACTAGGTACCGGTTTACCACTGCGGGGGTGGTATGACATACGATCCTAGGGACCAATGTGTAAGCATGGTGTTCCTCTTTCCCCCTTTATAGGTACAAGCAGTGGTATCCCATTTAGTCGTGGGAGTCATTCCTGTTCGTGAATATGTCTCATGCGCGTCTGTGGGGTCGTCTGTTTGTCTTGTCGAATTGTGTCCCTTCATCTTCCCTGTTCGTATGGAGGGGACATGGGACATGTCGTCAGTGCTTGTTACCCACAAGGGGACAATGTTGGATGCGTCTTGTGTGAAAGCAGGCCACGGGGCCCGTGTTTCCGGTCAGCCCCGGTTCCCCACCAGCACCCCCCTATCGCTGCGCGCGGAATGTGAACCACGGAGCCCAAAGCTCCGCGCATCTCACCCCCCTGCCCGTCTGTTCAGCCTGCAGGGCTTCGGCTGCTCTGATGTCTTCCACTCTGTGGATCCATTCCTCCCGAGTGGGGATGTCTAATTTCTTCCAGTATACAGGTATGAGTGCTTTTGCAGCGTTCAGTAGATGACGTAAGATGGATTTTTTATATGCGGATAGTGAGTGCTGTGAAATGTGTAATAAAATTAATTCCTTTGACCAAGCCACGTCATTCCCCAGAATCTGTTGTATGTCGGTTTTGATTTGGTCCCAGAATGGGACGATATGTGAGCACTCCCACCATATGTGTAGGAGAGTCCCCCTCTCGTCCTGGCATCTCCAGCACGTTGGAGTGGCATCGGGGAATATTTGGTGGAGCAGTACTGGGGTTCTATACCACATGGAAAGTATCTTATAGTTCACCTCCTGATATCGGGAGCTGGAGGAGCTCTTATGTTGCCAAATCAAGGCTTTGTCCCATTGCGCGGTAGTAAATGTTGTGTCCATGGCTCGTTCCCAGCGGTGTTTGAAAGTGTCATTTTCGGAGTTCGGGTTGATGAGTAAGTGTTGGTAAAGGAGCGAGATGGCTTTTCCAAGTGATGCGCCTCGGTGACATAGGGCTTCAAACCACGTCAGGTCTCTATGTAATTTTTCCCGGTGTGGGAGGGAGTTGTAGTAGTGTTGTAGTTGCATGTACCTAAAGGTCGCCATTGGAGATCGTGGTCGCGCCTCCAGAAGCGCGTCTAAAGTCTTCAGGTTGCCGTCCTGTGTGACCTTGCATATCGGTATATAGTCTGTGTCGCCTAGGAATGTCCAGGCTTCAGTTGGCGTTCCGCCCCCGATATTAGGGTTGTGCGGGATCGGAAGTAGGGGGCAGGGGGATGGGGAAACTTGTGGCAGCTCCCTAACGTTTTCCCAGGAAAGTAGCGTCTGTGCTACGGGTCCTTCCTCGTTCCTTCTACTGCCTCTGGTTGTTCGTCGCATCCATACCATCGCTTTTAATTTTGCCGCTTCTCCCTCTCGGTCCAGTGCAACCCATTGTTTGGTAGTGTCCAGTTCATGCCACTCAAGGATTCGTTGTAATGTCGCCGCTTGATGGTATTTCCTAAAATCTGGTAAAGCCAGACCACCCCTATGTCGAGGCATACAGAGTATGTCGTGTCGCAGCCTGGAGCGGTCTCCCCTCCAAACATATTTTATGACTGCTGATTTCAGTGTCGAAAAGAATGAGGTCGGTAAGGCTGTTGGTATAGTCTGAAACAGGTAGAGGACCCTAGGGAGGATATTCATTTTAAGGACCGCAATGCGGCCGTGCCAGGTGATGTGTGGGTAGGACCACCGTGCCAAGTCTGTTTCAATGGTTCGTAATAATGTCTCGAAGTTACGTTGGTAGATGTCTTGGGGATTCGTGGGGATCCAGATGCCGAGATATTTCATAGCCCCTGTACACCAACGAAACGGAAAAATTAGGCTAAGGGTGTTATATTCCTCCGCGGGTATGGTGACGTTAAATGTTTCACATTTCGCCAAGTTGAGTTTAAACCCTGATAGTCGACCAAACCTGTCTATCTCGGATAGTAAACATGGCAGTGTGGTTCGGGGCTGGGAAACAAAAAATAGAAGATCATCCGCATACGCGGCCACCTTGTGTTCTACATCTTGCCACAAGTAGCCCCGGATGTCGTGGTTGTCTCGTATAGCTTGTAGGAACGGCTCCAGGGAGAGTGCAAATAGGAGTGGGGACAGGGGACATCCCTGTCTGGTCCCATTTGCAATTCCAAAGCTTGTAGTAAGCCCCCCATTAACGCGGACTGCTGCTTTCGGTGTGCTATACAGAGCTGTAATCCAAGCCATAACTCTCTGCCCGAAGCCCATCCACCGTAGTGTTCGGAACATGTATTCCCAGTTGACCCGGTCGAATGCTTTCTCTGCATCTGTGGACAACAACAGAAGGCGTTTCTGATATTTCCGTGCATGGTGTTGTATTGAAAATAGGCGAAGTGTACTGTCCCGGGCCTCCCTGCCTGGGACAAATCCCGTTTGGTCAGCATGAACAAGGGTCGGTAAGATCCGTTGGAGTCTGGTCGCCAACACCTTTGTTAGTAGCTTCGTGTCCACATTCAGCAGAGAGATCGGGCGATAGCTGCAGCATTGTTCTGGGTCTTTCCCGGGTTTGAGCAAGACTGTTATGGTTGCTGTCAGGGATTCCCCACTAAAGTGTCCTCCGTCCGACACTGCGTTAACGGCCTTTGTCAACCATGGTAGCAATGTCGTGGCGAACATTTTATAGTATCCCGTGGAGAATCCGTCCGGTCCTGGGGCGCGTCCTGTCTTCGTATTTTTTAAAGCCGCTGCTAAATCTTCCGTGGCAATCGGTTCGTCAAGCACAGATGCTGCTGCCGGGTCTATATGATTCCTTATGGTATCCTGGAGATACATTCGAATGTTAGGTGATACATCCCTCTCTCGTATCAGGGCCTCTGGGTGAGGAAGGTTGTATAGGGAGCGATAGTAAGTTCGAAATTCCTCCGCTATTTCTTCTGGGTGTAGGGATACTTTACCCGAAGATAGGTGTAGTTTTTGCACTTGCGTGCGTGGTGTATCCCCTTTCAAGAGGCGAGCGAGGAATTTCCCGCCTTTGTTGGCATGTGTGTAAAAGAAGTTTTTTGAGCGTTGGAGCGAACGATGATACCTTTTCGCGATGAGGGCCGTCAGGTTACGTCTAGCTTCCATCAATGCACTGTATGTTTCATTCAGTTGCGACCTTTTGTGTTGAAGTTCCAGCTTTTTGATGGTGTCATATAGGTCCGCCATCGCGCGAGTTGCTTCTTTTCTTTTGCGGGTTGCGAGGTTAATAATAATGCCGCGCAGTACACTCTTGTGCGCTTCCCATATCGTTATTGGTGTCATCCCTTCCGTATTGTTTTCCGCAAAGTATGTTTCCATTGCCTGAGAGATCTCTTCTTTCACTGTTGGGTCTTGGAGCAGGGATTCGTTCAATCGCCATGACCATGTTGTTGGCTTAAATAGTGGGGACTCCAGCTCAATTCGAACTGGTCCGTGATCAGACCAAGTGGAAGGTTCAATGGTCGCCGTTCGTAGGCGGGATAATCCTCCTTGCTTAATGAACACATAGTCTATTCGAGAGTAACGGTTGTGTAATACCGAGTAATGTGTGAAGTCCTTGTCCGTTGGGTGAAGTGCCCTCCAGCAGTCCACCAGCGACAGTTCCCCCAATGCTTTGCGAATAGATCTAATGCGGGGTTGTGAGATGCAGCTGTGGCCCGTGGAGGAGTCTAAGAGGGGGTCCAGTGGGGCGTTGAAGTCTCCTCCAACGATCAGAGCTCCCTCCGAAAATCCCTTTAGTTTGTTCACCATTCCTCGTAGGAATTGTGCTTGGTTCGAGTTGGGGACGTACACAGTCACCAGGGTATATATCCTGTCCGCTATTAATCCTTTTAGAAAGAGAAAGCGGCCTTGATCATCGGTTAGTCTATCTATTTCGCGGAAACCAAGGTCCGCAGCAATCAAAATAGCTACTCCCGCTCGACGGGCGGTCGGGTGGTTATTGCAATAACTCAGCGGGAAGCGAGCGTTTCTGAGTTTGGGGGCAGCCCCTTCTTTAAAATGAGTCTCTTGAAGCATTGCTATTTTTATGTGTCTGTTGTGGAGGCCCCTTAGTAAGTGTGAGCGGCGTTCCGGATAATTTAAGCCTCTGCAGTTAAGGGTTATGACGGACAGAGGGGCGCGATCGTATGCCATGGGTCGCAACTATTCGCGCGAGGCAGCGAGGGGTGCGCCCGTGTGGAGATGTGGGTCAGACCTACCGTGTAGGCCCTATGGGTCAACTCTCTATCAGGGGTGTTCTCCCGAATAATTCAAGCGGTGATTATGTAGGGTTGCGTACGTATATATATATATATCGGGGTGTCCTGTCAGTTCTGACTGTGATCGGTTATCTACGTGGGTGTCGCCTCACCAAATCTGCGTCAAGCCTGAACGTGTACCGCGGTTGTCGGAGGGAGTGTGCGTGTGGTTCGGTGTATGTGTGTGTTCGTGAGTGGGGTTAGGGTAGATAGCTGAAGTTGCAAATGGTGCGTTAAGTTAAAGTTAAAATGGGGTGTGGGTCGTAAGGGCCACCCCCTTGGGGTTGTTCCCAGCGGGGTGAGGGAGGTGATCACCCCGAATTCTCCTCCGAGGGAGGTTCACCTGCGTCTCAGTCGGAGTGACCAGAAACTGCCCCGATCTTCAGATCGGTATGTGGACAGGCCTGTGGCTCCGCCGAGAAAGTCATGCAAGTGAATGTGTAGAGTCGTGGTCGTAGTCTAAACCAGGAGAGGGACAGTATAAGGAAGTGTCCCGCTCCAACCGGGTCCCAGCCCAAGTGTGTATGGTCAGGTGGGACGTAAATAAGTGAAGCAGCAAACAGTTTGGAAAACAGCCAAATAACAAACCATGGGCTAATTCCTAAACATTAATAACAGTAAACACATTTTTTTTTTTTTAAAAGCAATTTTCGCCATCCCTTCGTGTGTCCCCCAAAGGTGGATCTACCTCGTATCCTGGCGTCGCCCCCATGGAGCGTACATACCCTTATGTTGACCGTTAGGGATCATAAAGCTAAAGTAAAGGTCTAGGTATGCCCAGTCAATACATTATATTATTGGTCTCCACGCCCCTTGTCAGCTCAATATGGCCCGGTCTGGACATGGGTGGGTCTCTGTCTGCATCCCGTGGATCTCTCAGTTATGGGAACCTCCCTATGGTAACTGTGAGTGCGAACAATCTTTCCTCGCCTTCCTCCCCCTTTTTGTGGTGTTCATTTAAGTAACATACAGGTCGTGGCTGATTGTGTCAGGGGAAGTGTCGTCTCTAGTCCCCATCCCTATTCTCATGTCTGTCCTGATCATGTTCCGTGCTTCTGACAACCCACCCACCTCCTGCACCACCGCCACTGCAGTCCCACAAGCTCCCTATTTACCGTCCCAGGATGTCCCACAACCTAACAAGCAAATGCGTATGTATAATATATTGTGCTAACAACATATCAGGTGATCATGACGTCATATGTCAATGGAGGTTACTTATCAGGTTGGTGAAAGTCCCGGTATCCAATGTTCCAGCGAGGTGAACCGATTAAGCCAGTTCAAGTTACAGTGTGCGTTGTCCACAAGGGTTGCAGTAGAGGTGGGAGGACACCCAAAGTCATATACTTAAATCCCTCACCCCCCCAAGTTCCCACCACCCAATAAGTTGGCCAGGGTTTCCCCGCAGCGTCACCGGGGGGGGGGGTAGTAGCTCAAGTGGTAGGTGAGTCGGTATTGAGGCATAACGTTCCGCCAGGGAGGGGGGGACTGTGTCGGGGAGACACCGTCAGCTAGTGTATGTCCGGTGCGGGTGTGTCGGGCCAGTATTCATACCTGGAGAAAATGGGTCCATGGTGCAGATAGGAGCGTGACCCTCTCGGGATCCATGCGGTAGTCTCCTAACATTTGTGGTCATGATAGTTAAGGGTGGTGTAAACGGCCAGGTGTCAGAGAGTCTAGTGAGCCCAAGAGTATTAGTGTTGCCGGGCCAATGTCATGGTGTCGTCCGAAGGGAGGGGAGGCAGATCCTTCCTGTCGGGTTGACACCTCAGAGCAACGGTTGCTATATTTACATGTCCCGGCGGTGAGGCTGGGGTCCCTGCGGTGATCTTCCTCTGCGGCGACGGGGTGCCCGTTGGGGTCTCTGACCTGCATCTAGCGGTCCCAGGATCCAGTCTTGGACCGGTACCGGTGGCAGTCCCATGTCCTCCAGAAATCTGGGGACTTCCTCTGGCCAGCGGATCGAGGCCCAGCCGTTCTGGTGACGTGCGGAGAGGGCAAATGGGAAGCCCCATTTGTACTGTATCTTGTGTTCCCTGAGGAGCGAGGTAATGGGTCTCAGGGCCCTCCTGGCTTCCAAGGTTACCGGTGACAGGTCATTAAATAGTGTTATGTGTGCCCCTCGGAACTCCCATGTGGGTCGGTCTCTCGCTGCCTTCATTATGTTATTCTTTGTACTAAAGGAATGCAGGCAGCAGATGATATCTCGGGGGCCGTCCTCCAGCGAGCGTGGCCTCAGTGCTCTGTGCGCCCTGTCGTATCGAATGTCCAGCGGGTTATCATCGGACAAAATAAGGTGGAAGAGGGCCGTTAGTGTGCTTTCAATGTCCTCCTCGCCCTCCACCTCCGGTATGCCGCGCACTCTAATGTTGCAGCGGCGCCCCCGGTTATCCAGATCTTCTACATTACGTCTGAGCTGCAGGAGCATATCCCCTTGCCTGGCTAGTGCCGTGTCAGTGGATGCTAACCTGGTGCTGTGGGTCTCGTGGGAGCGTTCCAGTTCCTGTACTCGGAGCCCCTGCGCAGTAACCTCCGACCGGATTCCAGCCATTTCGGCCCGGAGGGCGTCTTGTATGGTTGTTGTGAGTAATAGGAGGTCAGCTTTCGTGGCCATGGAGGCTGCTATGGTGCGGAGTTCATCTCCGATGCCATCCAAAGTAGAAGCCTGGGGGGTTTCGGCAGCTGCGGGTGTGGAGGGATTGGGCGCCATCTTGGATCCCGAGGCCTCACCGCGTGTGTCTGCGGAGCTGTGCAGGAATCCGTCCATTGGACCTTGCTGGTTCGATTGAGAACCCCTGGGGGTTCCAGTCGGTTCCCCGCGTCGGTTCCGTCCCATCAGAGCTAATTAAAGCAAATTAATAGGGCTTTCTGGGTGCCGGTGGAGCGGAGCGTTCAGTTCAAGCTGCCATCCCGGCCGACGTCCAAGCCACGCCCCCCCGGTAGTAAAGTTATATACAAGGTACAGCTATATATTTTAGGTTCCATTCTTGCACAGTGTGTTCAATCTAGAATTTTGTATCTCCTTCTCAGTTAAAAACTTCTAAAGTATGTTAACATCTAATTGAAAATGAAAGTTTTTTTCATGCAGGCTGTGTGTGTCAGAGCCAGGGGAGGTGAGGTAGGGTTCCATAAATAGAAACAAAAGCGATTTAACTCAGAAATGGCAGAGTACTTAGCAGTGAGACTGCAGGGGTATGATCTATACACCAAAACTATTTCCTTAAGGTAAAATAGTTTTGATGCCTATATTATCCCTTTAAAGGTCAACTAAAGCCCACAGGCGACTTCATCATGTTAAGAGGTCTGTTGGAGTGACCTGTAATCTAAAACACTGTTGTTTAGTAGATACAGCATGTTATGATTGCACAGTTAGAGTTGCAGAGTTTAATTTCCCTATGAGAAAACATTGGATTGGCTGAAATAATCAATCTCAAAGGGACACTATAGTTAACAGAACAACTACAGCTTATTGTAGTTGTTCTGGTGAGAATAATCATTCCCTGCAGGCATTTTCATGTAAACACTGCCTTTTCAGAGAAAAGGCAGTGTTTACATTACAGCCTATGGATACCTCCAGTGGCCACTCCGCAGATGGCCACTGGAGGTGCATCCTGGGGCAGTGCTGCACAGTGTACAGCACTGCCGTTCAGCGTCTACATGGAGACACTTATTTTTCCTATTAGAAATGCATTGATCCAATGCATTTCTATGAGGAGGTGCTGATTGGCCAACCCAGCGTTTGGCCCGACCTCCATCCCGCCTCCTTGCTGATTTTAGCCGAAGTCATTTAATTCTGATATAAGCAAGAAGGTGGACCTGTGCGGCATTGGAAATAAGGTACCTTTTCCTACCTTTTAAGGGGGTTAAGAGGTGGCAAGCCACCTAAATACAGACACTCCTCACTTACCCGCCGGGTTTCATTCCTACAAACCGGTCGTAGAACGAATTGGTCGGTAAGTGAGGAGTTAAGAGATTCCCTGCTCTGGTGTGCTTGTCTGTGTTCAGGGAAAATTCCCCGAACATAGACGAACGCACCAGAGCAGGGAATCCCTCTAATCAATGTTCAGGCAAATTTCCCCAAACATAGATTTAAGGGATTCCCTGCTCTGGTGTGCATGTCTGTGTTCAGGAACATTTCTCCAAACATAGATGAACACACAAGAGCAGAGAATCACTGTAATCTATGCTCAGGGAAATTTCCCTGAACATAGATTAGAGGGATTCCCTGCTCTGTTGCGTTCATCTATGTTTGGGGAAATGTCCCTGAACATAGACGAATGCAGCAGATCAGGTAATCCCTCTAATTCCCACGATGGCACGCACTTACCACCCTGCGAGAGAGCTGGTCGTAAGTGCGAGCCATCATGAAAAAGGTAGGTCGCAAAACGAGGACCACCTGTAGTGGTTTTAACACTTTAGGGTCAGGAACACATGTAGACAGTCACACACACAGTCACAGGCAGACATTCACACACAAAGTTACAGGAAGACAGCCACACACACACACACAGTCACAGGTAAATAGTTACACACACATTCAAAGGCAGTCACACACAGTTACAGGCAAACAGTCACACACAGTCACAGGCAGACTGTCACACACAAAGTCACACACACAGTTACAAACAGTCGCACACATAGTCACATGCACAGAGACATACATCATCCTGGCATCCGTGTCATTACAGTGTGTGCGAGGGACCTGTGCAGAAAGAGCACAGAGATCCCAGCAGCAACCACGGACCACCAGGGACTGAAGATCTACTCCAGCCCTACCAGAGCAAAGTAGGAAGGTTGGGAGGACCTCCTAATTATTAAATGTGTGTATGCATGTGATGATTGTGTGTGTGTCCGTCTAATTATATGTTTATGTGATTGTGTGTCTGTGATTGTATGTGTGTGCGTGTCTGTGATTACGTGTGTATATATATATATATATATATATATCTTTTGTGACAAAAGTACTCCTTTCCCTTGGTACCTTGTCCTGGGATCGGGGTGTTACACACAGTCTTTTCAGGCTTTAGAGACACTTCACACGCTGGATGAGGTAAACTGACTTGCTCTTTTATTGAGGTTCCAAAAGAAATGCACAGTAAGGTATAAAGGTAACAAAAATATATCAAACAAAAGCCTCGCTCTTCTGAGCACTAACTAAACAAAATAATCAGCTAACTGGGTTGGATGGCTTGTCCATTTCCCAACATAAACATAAACAGCCTTACTGCTTCAGGGTTTTCAGCTCTCTGTTTCCACTCACAGAAACCAAAACACAATCTCCCTTCTTCCTTGGCAGGGGAGTACTTAATAGCACTGGTAATTGACAATCCTTTTCAGGTGAGTTAGATTAGGATTCAAACTCCAGAACTGGACTTCTCACCAAGCAAATTCCAAAATGTGGAGTGGAGCACTGGCCCACCCTACTCTCCAGGTGCTCCACCCCAGGGCCCAAATATACACATATTTAAAGTGCAACATTCATTAGAACATAACACATTTCCCTGGGGCTAATTACACAAAGTAAGAACCTTGCAAAATCTGGGGAGGTATATAGGTTCCTTCCAGCACAATTCCTTGCTTTCTGTCACACATCCCCCCCCCAGCTCAGACCTATAGGGTCGAGCGACCATGGACATTAGAGAGTGCATCCGCGAAAGACCATCTGCATTTCCCTGTTTACTCCCGGCCCTATGCTCAATGGAGAAATTATAGGGTTGCAAGCTAAGGAACCAGCGGGTTACTCTACTATTTTTCTCCCTGTTTTGGCTCATCCAAGTAAGGGGTGCATGGTCTGTCACTAGTCTGAATTTTCATCCCAAGAGATAGTACTTAAGTGTGTCTACCGCCCACTTTATAGCCAGACACTCCTTCTCAACAATGGAATAGTTTCTTTCCTGGGGATTAAGCTTCCTGCTTAAATATAATATGGGGTGCTCCTCACCCTGAATTTCTTGAGAGAGAACAGCACCTAGTCCTACATCAGATGCATCGGTCTGTAAAATAAATTCTTTAGAAAAATCAAGTGTTAACAACACTGGTTGGGCACAAATGGCTTCTTTAAGCTTTCTGAATGCTTGTTCCGTCTCTGGGGACCATTTTACCACTACTGGAGCATTAGCTTTAGTAAGGTCAGTTAATGGGCTTCCAATTGTAGCAAAATTGGATATAAATCTCCTGTAATAGCCAATGAGGCCAAGAAATGTTCTCACCTGTTTCTTAGTCAGTGGTCTCGGCCAATTTTGTATGGCTTCAATTTTAGCAACTTGGGGTTTCACTAGTCCCCTACCAATAGAGTAGCCCAAATATTTTGCTTCCTCTAGGCCAATCGTACACTTACTAGGGTTAGCAGTTAAGCCAGCATTTTGTATTGAGTTAAGGACAGCCTGTACTTTTGGAAGGTGAGATTCCCAATCCTCACTGTGTACTACAACATCATCCAAGTATGCAGCTGCATAGCGCACATGCGGCTTTAGTATTCTGTCCATCATTCTTTGGAATGTGGCAGGGGCACCATGCAAGCCGAAAGGCAAAACTCTGTACTGAAATAGGCCGTCAGGAGTAGAAAATGCTGTCTTTTCTTTTGCTCGCTCTGTGAGTGGTACTTGCCAATAACCTTTGGTTAAATCTAGTGTAGTGAGGTACCGAGCTCTCCCAAGTCGTTCTACTAGCTCATCAACTCTAGGCATGGGGTATGCATCAAACTTAGAAATAGCATTCAGTTTGCGATAATCATTACAAAACCGTACTGTATTATCAGGCTTTGGTACCAGCACAATTGGACTGCTCCAGTCACTTTGTGACTCCTCAATGACTCCAAGATCTAACATTTTCTTAACCTCTGCTCTGATAGCTTTTCTACGAGCCTCGGGTATTCTGTATGGTTTGAGATTGACCCTTTTTCCTGGTTCTGTTAAAATGTCATGTTTAATCACGCTAGTCCTTCCTGGGACTGGGGAGAATACCTCTTTATTTAATCTAATAAACTCCTTAACTTCCCTTGTCTGGTGTATTGACAGGGTCTCTGAGATATTTACTTCGGGGTCAGTATTACACTTATCAGGGAAGGTTGAAGCCTCTGTAGTAACCAGAATTTCCCTTTCTTTCCATGGTTTTAGCAAATTGACATGGTATATTTGCACTTCCTTTCTTCTACCTGGTTGCCTTACTTTATAATTTACCTCTCCCACTCTTTCAATAATCTCATATGGCCCATGCCAAGTTGCCAGGAATTTGTTCTCTACTGTGGGAACCAAGACTAGTACTCTGTCTCCTGGTTGAAATACTCGAATTCTAGCATCCTTATTGTAGCTATTCTGCTGATTTTGTTGAGCCTTTTGCATGTGTTCTCTGACTATTGGCATAATGGCTTCAATACGTTCCTGCATCTGAGTTATGTGTTCTATTACACTGCGATGTGGGTTTGCTTCTTGTTCCCAAGTTTCCTTTGCTATGTCAAGTAATCCCCTGGGGTGTCTGCCATATAATAATTCAAAAGGTGAGAAACCCGTGGAAGCTTGGGGTACTTCTCTAATGGCAAGCATTAAATAGGGCAATAGAAAGTCCCAGTTTTTCCCATCTTTATCAATTACTTTGCACAGCATAGCCTTTAAGGTTTTATTAAATCGCTCAACCAAACCATCGGTTTGTGGGTGATAAACAGAGGTTTTGAGGTGTCTAATGTGAAGGAGCTTGCAGAGTTCCTTTGTAACCTTAGACATGAATGGAGTACCCTGATCTGATAGGATCTCCTTGGGAATCCCAACCCGGCTAAACATCATCATTAACTCTTTAGCAATGGACTTTGCTGAGGTTGTGCGCATAGGTATTGCCTCAGGGTAACGGGTAGCATAGTCTAGTACTACTAATATATATACTGATGCCCCCTACTGGATTTCACCAGAGGACCCACAAAATCCATAGCAATACGTTCAAAAGGCACTTCAATAATAGGCAAGGGTACTAAAGGGCTACGGTAAGCCGTAAAGGGCGCAGTGACCTGACATTCAGGGCATGACGAACAGTAGTTTTTGATAGCTGCAATTACTCCAGGCCAGTAAAATCTCCTCAAAACACGCTCTCTTGTTTTGTCAACCCCTAGGTGACCCCCCAAAACATGGCTATGTGCAAGGTTTAACACAGTGCGCCAATAGGCTTGTGGTACTAACAGCTGCTTTGTAATAACGGACTCTTTTTCTCAACTCTGTACAACAGATCATTATCCACTTCAAAATAAGGGTAAGTAAGAGAATTCCCTGGATTGACAGGGGATCCATTCCTTATAGAAATATTATTCCTGGCTACCAATAATGTTGGGTCAGACCACTGTGCACTTCTGAAGTTACCAGGCCTAACCTCTAAATCAACTAACTCTATATCTGGTTCAGAGTTTCTAGAAGGTCCCGCATTAGTTTGTTCTGGGTTTTCACCAACTAATGTTTTTACAGGGGAGTGCTGCATACTGTTAGGCTCATCATCATGATCTCTCTCATCTGCCAGAGTATCTGCAAAAGGAAATTCATCATTCTGTTCACCTGATGGGTTTCCAAAAATGCCCATAGGTCTAGAAAATGGGGAAAATCCCTTCCAATAATCATCTCATGTGCCAGTTTTGGTACCAGCCCCACTCTGCAGTTTACAGTACCACACTGGGTTTTAACAAGTATATCTGCAGTAGGGTAGTTATGTATATCCCCGTGTACACAAGCAATATCAATTTTTCCAGAGTAAACAATATGAGTATCCTGTAATAAGGATTGGTCTAGAAGGGTAACCATACTCCCTGAATCTAGCAATGCCTGTATATTTTTTTCCTCCACATTCACGGTACACCCAGGGTGACTATTCAAATAACCATTTTTTTTCACAGACCTGCGAATAGAGTGCAATTCCTTCCCAATTATTACCAAAATTACACTCCATTGGTTCAACATTTTCAGGACAGTCTTTTGCAATATGTCCAAAGTTTCTGCATTTAAAGCATTTTATACCATAATTAGTACTTTTTGATTCATTTGTAGGCTCTTCCCACCTCCCAAAGTCTTTTTCTCTTTTAACATTGTCTCTTGGGTAATAAGACCCTGTTCTCTCATCAAAAGACCCCCTTTTCCCTGGAACAGTCTTACCAGATTTGCTGGGGTTGTAGGTTTTCGGATTCTTGGGTCTCTCTTGGCCAGGAGGTTGAAGCAGTTCTCCCGCTGCTATATACCGTTCAACCAATTCAACCAATTGGTCAGCTGTTTGGGGATTGCTCTGGCTGACCCACCGACGAAGCCCAATAGGTAAGCCTCTTAGGAATCTTTCCATCACCAGTTGCTCCACAATGCGGCTGGGTGAGTTGATCTCTGGCTGCAACCATTTTCTGGCAAGGTGTATCAAGTCAAACATCTGGGAACGAATCGCTTTATCCAGGCTGTAAGTCCATGAATGAAATCTCTGGGCATGGACGGCTGTTGTCACCCCCAGGCGTGCCAGTATTTCTGCTTTCAGCTTTTTGTAGTCACTGGCTTCCGCTGGTTCCAGATCATAGTATGCTTTCTGGGATTCACCAGTAAGAAACGGTGCTAGCAGACTTGCCCATTCCGCTTCAGGCCAAGCTTCTCGCTCAGCGGTTCGCTCAAATGCCATCAGATAGGCCTCTACATCATCTGTGGATACCATCTTTTGCAAGTAGTGACTCACTCTGATCACCTTTGGACATTGTGGTAAGTCTGTGGCATCCCTGGCCAGCCTTTGTGATAGACTCTGTATCTCCTGCTGTATGACACATGTGGCACGCTGCTGCTCCTCTCTGAGCACTTGATGCGCTGCTGCCTGTGTTGCTTCAACTTGCTTGAATAAAGCATCTGTATTTTCCTTTTGAGCCAGTACAAGCTGCTGCAGTATTGAAATGCTCTCTTGCTGTATTGCATTAGTCTCTGCAGTCCTCCTGTTTGTCTCTTGCTGTACAGCAGTGGACTGGAGCAAAGCTTTCATGACATCCTCCATTTTCTCAGCAGTCTCTTTCTCCCTACTTACAGACTTTGCCGTGTGCTGCCCGCATTCTCCACCATATGTGACAAAAGTACTCCTTTCCCTTGGTACCTTGTCCTGGGATTGGGGTGTTACACACAGTCTTTTCAGGCTTTAGAGACACTTCACACGCTGGATGAGGTAAACTGACTTGCTCTTTTATTGAGGTTCCAAAAGAAATGCACAGTAAGGTATAAAGGTAACAAAAATATATCAAACAAAAGCCTTGCTCTTCTGAGCACTAACTAAACAAAATAATCAGCTAACTGGGTTGGATGGCTTGTCCATTTCCCAACATAAACATAAACATAAACATAAACATAAACATAAACATAAACATAAACAGCCTTACTGCTTCCGGGTTTTCAGCTCTCTGTTTCCACTCACAGAAACCAAACACAATCTCCCTTCTTCCTTGGCAGGGGAGTACTTAATAGCACTGGTAATTGACAATCCTTGGATTCAAACTCCAGAACTGGACTTCTCACCAAGCAACTTCCAAAATGTGGAGTGGAGCACTGGCCCACCCTACTCTCCAGGTGCTCCACCCCAGGGCCCAAATATACACATATTTAAAGTGCAACATTCATTAGAACATAACACATTTCCCTGGGGCTAATTACACAAAGTAAGAACCTTGCAAAATCTGGGGAGGTATATAGGTTCCTTCCAGCACAATTCCTTGCTTTCTGTCACAATATATACACACATACATACATACACAACCACAGATGTACACACACACAGACATACGTCTATTGTGTTATTGTGTGTTTATATAAATGTGCTTAGTAGATAGCTCCCTTATTTGGTGTCCTTAAATATTGCAATCTCACACAAGGATAACAAATAAGTGAGTTATATACCAAACAATTGAAAGATTAAAATTAAGAAAAAGGCTTTTTTAATGTAAATTTTTTTAGCTGTTTAGTAGATAATTCCCTAAATTATGTGAGATTTCCATATTTAAAGATACCAAATTAGGGTGCTGTTTAGCAGATAGCACCTTGAATATGGCAATCTCACATAAGTATATATGGTTATATATAACCATACCACTGCATTCAAAAACCACACTACACACAAATGCATGCATGCATTCAAACAACAACACTACAAACACAGCCCTGCATTCACTCACACATACTCCATATAAAAACATGCTAACATTCAAACACACAAACACTGCTCAGTGCTAAATAAAAAATTTAATTTAAATTGTAGTTGTTTTATACATTTTAAAGTGTGGGAGCAGGGGTGTGTGTGCCAAAAATAGGACCCGCCCCAGGTGCCAAATGCTCTAGGTACGCCCTGGGTAACTGTTTAGTAGCTGATATAAAGATTCTTCAATAAGTAGACTCGATATGCTGGCAGAATAAGAGGAATCATTAAGGCACATTTCATCCCAATTATGGATTCTTCAATCTTCTTCCCTCAGGGAAACGCCATAGGATTCCGTATTGTTGGACTCGCAGGTTTGCGAATAGCTTTGTTTAAGTGGGTTTTACTTGCACTTGTTTTTGTCTAAAATATAATGTGCACTTTATTTAGGTGGCATTGTGCCACATTTGCACTTATTGTGCTCCCATTGGCACTTATGCTCATGGTCGGTGTGATTGCGTTTTTGCACATGATTATGTGTTCACATTTTTGCACTTTATGTGCATTATGTATTTTTTGCATATGACTTGTGTTTACTTTTTGTATTTGCACGTTTTATGTGCTTACATTTTCACTTACCATGTGTGCTTACACTTTGCACTTTATGCATGTGGCCTTGTGGGCTCCCATTAAGCCCTTTATGTCACATGATAAATATATATTGTTAAGGATTTGGGATTTATTTGCACTAGATGTATTAACTGTATATGGGTTTTATGGGATAGAATTTTCACTTAAATTGAGGTCATGGGTTGTATGCTGAATCTGTATATGGTGGTACGATTGTATAAAGTCAATGTATTATTAGGATTAAAATTGGTATCAATGAAGAAGGATGATTGTATTTTTAAGTACTAGAGGAATTATGGTATTAAGCATAGATTGTAAAAGAGTACATTTTTATAGTATTTTTAATAATTGCTGCTGCATTTGCCCTTGTATGTACATTGTAAAGTGATAATAAAGATGCATCTAAATCTGAATAAAGCTGAATGTGATTACAGTGATTGTAGTGACTATAAAAACACCGGGCTCTTTTCCATGCTTTTTTTCTTGATATTTATCCAGTGTGCAAAATGGTAAATGCTATATGTTGGTCGGTATCAGTGGAGGCACACATGATTTGTCTCTGATTTTTTTGATTGTTTTATTTTGAGAGCTACCAAAAAGCTTGCGCTGGTTTTGTTCATTAGTGGGACTGACTTTCCTTTGGTGTGAAATTCAATAATCGATCACCACTGAGGCGTAATTGTGACTTTAAAAAAAATAATAAAATATTGGATTTATCCCCGTGATTGGATAGCCCACATTATATTATACCTTTACGGAAGCATGTATTTATTCAATTCTTATGGGGAGTTTTGCACCTTTTAACAGGTATTGCATCGGTGTACAATAGTAAGTTATAAAATCTAGTTATAAGTAGTTACCTAGATGAGCTTACAATAAATAAACTCCACACTGGTGTTAAAAACCACTGTTATTAAAACATGTATATGGGGTTTTGGTAAGTGAGTGAGTACGTACATTTTTGTTTTATTTCATTCATATATTAGACTTTATACTATAACTAATAAGCCCTCCCTAGAGTGACGGGGATAATATGCAAGTGTTTAGTAGTCGTATTAACAGCATTTTTCTGGCCTTTTCTGGGTTGATAGTAAATGACTGCTGTATTTTATCTGGTATTTCCGATATATAGGTAGATAGGAAAATCACAAAAAAACTCCCAGTACAGATACAAATTGCAGTACTCGCATTGCAGTACCAATGCAGAAAACACAATGCAGCCTTTGCAACCACTTGGGAAGCAGTAATATCAATTATCTTTTGCCTCTGGCATCTGTACTGTAATGTGTAAAGGCATAAGCCTTTCTAATCTATTAAGTAACCCAAGAAAGTTCCTTCTTTTTCTCTTTCTACTTAACAGAACACAGGTGTAAGTGCCAGTCACAGTATGATGTCTTAGTCCATGACATTAATTTGCCCCATTACAAATGTACAAGCAGCACTTTAATCACGGGTGTATGCTAGGCATGTATAAAACTATCATCCTTGCCTCCATAGCTCCCGTGCGTTTCAGACTTGTTACTGGGGGCTTATGTCTGACAGTTGCCCACGCGTTCTAGAATGCAGGGATCACAAGGAGATCTCTCCGTAATGAGAAGAGAAGCTGCTTTCCGAGAAGAACAGAGCAGGCAGGGATTAACCCTTCTGCTGTCAGACGCAGCATTAAAACAATGAGTATTTAATGAAGGACGTTGTTCAATGTGGGCCACAATTTTACAAGTTAAATTGGAGACTCCTAAAAAAAACAGAAAGATTCTATTTATAAATTTATAATAAGCAACCTCACAATCACTTTTCTGTAGATGCAAGACTGCAGCAATAGGCTAAATAGTTTGCTTTGTATTTCTGGAAAAAGAAAAAAAAAGGCTAGTTTGACCAACTGTAAAACTAGCACAATCATGCAAGGCGAAAACACGTCAAGGCTGCTACAATGTCACATTTAAATGAGCCTGGCAGCTTTGACATCATCACTGTGTTCCAAATGCTGCACCAATGAAATCAGTGGGAAGGGCTGCAATAAGTAAATTGAAAGTACTTCATTTAAAGGCAATACATATAGAATAGTTTCAACATTGCTGCTTTTATTTTAACAAAAGATCACTGAACACAATATGCCCTTTCAAATCAGATATTAGTATTGTTATTAACGTCATTTTTTACATAGCCCCAAAATGTTCCAGAGAGTATTACTATAGTATAATATAGATATAAGTGGCAAATAGAAGACAGTAAATATTAACATGAACAAAAGATGAAGAGGGTCCTACTCAAATGAGCTTACATGGTGAGGTACAAAATGAAGGCGTTTAAAACGGGAGGGGGTGAGATCCCCAGGTATTACGCATGCATCTAGTTACACTAATGAAAGAAGGAGTGTGGAAGAAAACTATAGAGTGGGAGGAACAGAGTGAAACAAGCTATTTATTATGATAGAGAAGGGTCGTACTGGTTTAAAGGAACAATCACTGTATTTTTGCTTAGCTAAAGTTATTTTGGAGCTTAGAGGAATTACATTATCCAGGGAGAAGATAAGCTAGCTTAAATAGATTAATTTAGAGGACCGTCTTAAGAGATTCAATGCTATGGTAAAAGCCATACAAGATGAGATATTGGAATAGTTCTGCCCTGGAGACATTCTGTAGGTACGTTTTGGCAATGGGGGTGAGAAAAGAGGATGAGAGAATGTCACTTCAATTGGGTATCAGTCGAAAAGGGGCATATTGTGGCTTTGCTTGTTGATAACACTCCTCACCAGCATTACAAGCCTGTGACGTATAGTGTTTCATTGAGAATATCACAGAGTAATATCACAGCAATAAAACACAGACAAGCATCTGTAGAATTGTTTTTGGAAAGGACCAAGGAAACACATGAGGAGGACTACAGGAGAGATAGGTGGTGCATAAGAAAAAGCATACATGTGGACAATATAAAGAAATTAAAAAACCATGGCAAGTTTATAGTCAGCTTGCTTCAATTTATTTTTGAGTTACATTTTGTCTTTTTACTTTCCATGACCTGCCCTTCACCCCATCTTTCAGTGCATTCTCCTTCTCCTGGCAGAACTATATACACTAATGGACTCACCATCCACACGTAAAGGTCGCAGAGAAGACAATACTGCATCGTCCTCATAAACAACCTATGTTGACCTATGGAACTCTCCAAAGCACTTTTAACTCCCTTCCCAAAGGATATACACGATGCATAGACACAAAAAGTAAAGCACTTTACTTTTCAATAGATAATGGCACCCAGCTGTGTGGCTGGCATCCACTGAATGAAACCAGCAATGTGACCGGAAAATAGTTTTAAAAAAGTAGGATTTTCTACATTAGTTTATCTTAAATCTAAATCATACATCTGGGGTAGGCAACCTTTTGAGTAATGACAACTTGCTATCATATTCTCTATAAATTTGTGAATGACAAATCAAGATACAATGGTGAGAGCAAAATCTCAATGTATCCCTCCTGGTAAACATCATTGTTTTAAAAGAAAAGAAAAAAGAAAAGAAAATGATTTTAAAAAATAAATAAAACATATATATCTATATGAAAAAAGATTTACAACGGTACCTGACTGAGATTGAGAATTCCCCTTTGGAGGTCTGGCTGCCTCGAATGATGAAAGATCCAAGACATTTGCCCATGAGTAAATTCTCTGCATCCGCACGGGATATGTTCTCCCTGTACCATCTATAACATCAAACACAGGGAAAGTTTAACGAGAACATCAGATTACATAAATAATCAGCGTATTAAGGCAGAGTGTAATTGCTAATCCCTTTATAAGAAACACTATCAAATATTACATGAAGTAAAATGATCATAAGTACAAAGTATTAGAGATTTATTTGATCTGGAATTTCATGTTTAATACAGTGATTCATTTTATATCAGAAATTACTAAAACACAGGCATGTTTAACAATAATTAATGATTATGTCAAATTGCATAAAAAGCACAATATTTATCACTGCGGAGGCATGCAGGGTAAAATAATTATAGAATTGGGGGCATTTAAGTTTCCAGTTTAACAATTATTGCAATTTATTGGTTTAATTTATATTTGTCCATACAAACATGGGAAAGGGGGATAGTCATTCAGGTTTAGAGTGAAGATGCTTTATGTACTGTTACATCTCATTACTATTCATGCTCTTCAGATTCTGAAAAGAAGAAATGCAATTATAAGTGATATTGTTTGGAAACATTAAACGTTATATAAGATTCTACCCCTGGACTCTGTTCTACTGGGCGTGATATAACTAGGACAATGTAATTGGTGGTATTCATGGCTCCACTGTTGGGGAATTATACCTCTATCAGTAGCAGAAATGGAAATGAAATGGCTCATCTGGAGAAATAAATTCCCCGGATTACAAAGTCAGCCCAATACAATATACTTACTAAAAGACATTCCAGAACAAAAAGTTGTTTGTAGGCTGTTTCGGCTGTTTTTGTTGTTGTTTTGGGTGTTAACTAAGCTTTGTGCCCATTACATATATTTTTCTCTCTACGGCCTTTACTTTGCATAGTAAACTTTTGGCTTTTGAAAATGACTGAAGTCACCAGTAACAGAACCTAGAATTTACCAGGGTGAGATGACATGGAATGCATCTTTTAATACAGAACTGGTGATGTACTGATGCATTGAAAGCCACACGGTTATTAAAGCTGATGTATTCATTAAAACTCTTGCAATGTATCCCAAATGTATGATAACAAGTGCTATCGCGTAAAAAGCTAATAGGTTTCTGTTCTACTATCACAGCTTCTCATACAGCTCATCAGTGAGGCATGGCTGATATCTTTCTATTCCCAATGAACAAGGAATACATTTCTGGATTAAGCTACACCAGGCACTGCCAAAAAGTAAAGAAACAACTAACATTAGACCTGCAAAGCATTGTGGGGATTGTGGTTGTACAAAACATGGATGCTTACCTGTTGGTCATCGCTTCCTCACCCTGTTAGTGAAAAATCTAAAGATTGTCCCATGACATCATCAGACACTGTCTGCAGAACTTTTTTGTGATAGATTATGATTCATAAAAATTTAGCTTACTCTAGAAATCCATTTCTCCAGGCATTTTTTATGCCCATCCCCTGTTAATCATTTTTTTATACTACATGGACCCTCTATGAGTGTACTGGTGACATTGTTTCTGTTAATTTTTTTTTATTTTTTTTACTGAATAAACTCCAGAATCATGAGTCCAATCCCTTTCCAAATATTCAATATAACAATCTCTGCCATGTGAACACAAGGTAAACATTGGGTGTTCTTAGCTAGAAAGTAAACTGTTGCCAACATTGTAATAAAATGATTGCTTTTGTTTTAAAATAAATACATAAAGCGCATGCCTCTCTCTGTATTTTGTTCTTGTTTTTAGATGAAACAGTGAGTTTATCAGTGATGGTTCTTCTTTAATTTTTTTATTATATATATTGCTTATTTCTCTTATACTGTGTTGCCTAATATGCTGAAAAAAAGAAAATGAGCACGTCATATGTTTCTGTGAATTTATACTACTTTTATATCGATATATCTTGACTCTTATCCTATTGTCCAGCCTTTTTAATATCAGCCAATGGCTGCAACCTACTGCCTAATAGGTTTCCCACCAGCTATGAACTTAAAAAAAAACAAAAAAAAAAAACTTGATTCTGCTTTTAGGCGGGTTTTTTTTAAAATTCATTTTAATTCTTTATTTTTGCTGTGCATAGTGTTACAAGCAAGCTTGCCATGCCCCAAAAGCAGATAACAAGAAGCAGGGCCGCCATCAGGGGGTGACAACCGTGACAGTTGTCACGGGCCCGGCGGCCCTGGGGGGCCCGGACTGCTCTGGCAGTCCTGGGCCCCACTTTCCCTTTCTGCACACATAGATAGCGCATATCGCTATCTATGTGTGCAGCCGCGGGCCCCCGGCTCCCTGTTACCGCAGAGGGGGCCCAGCCAGGCAGCACACAGCTTCTCCTCCTGTCTTCTCTCTTCTCATAACTCTCGCGAGACCTGCGGAGCGTTGCCATGGTAACCGGGTCTCGCGAGAGTTATGAGAAGAGAGGAGAAGCTGTGTGCTGCCTGGGCCCCCTCTGCGGTAACAGGGAGCCGGGGGGCCCCCCACCGGACCACCAGGGATGGAATCTCCCCCCTCCATGGACACAGGTAAGCAGGGAGGGGGGAGAAACATTTAATTAAATTAATAAAAAATTAATGTTAAAATGCCCCTTCCTCCCCCTCACCCCAGATCACACACTAACAACACACACTGCATACACTAACACACACATACACTGCATACACTAACACAACACACACACTGCATACAATAACACAACACACACACTGCATACAATAACACACACATACACTGCATACACTAACACAACACACACACTGCATACAATAACACACATACACTGCATACACTAACACAACACACACACAGCATACACTAACACACACATACACTGTATACACTAACACACACACTGCATTCACTAACACAACACACACACTGCATACACTAACAACACACACTGCATACACTAACACACACATACACTGCATACACTAACACACACATACACTGCATACACTAACACAACACACACACTGCATACAACACACACATACACTGCAT